TCTCTGGTCATTCCCTGCACTGTCCGCAGTCTCTGGTCATCTCCTGCACTGTGTCCGCAGTCTCTGGTCATCTCCTGCACTATGTCCGCAGTCTCTGGTCATCTCCTGCACTGTGTCCGCAGTCTCTGGTCATCTCCTGTACTGTGTCCGCAGTCTCTGGTCATCTCCTGTACTGTGTCCGCAGTCTCTGGTCATCTCCTGTACTGTGTCCGCAGTCTCTGGTCATCTCCTGTACTGTTTCTGCAGTCTCTGGTCATCTCCTGTACTATGTCCGCAGTCTCTTGGTCATCCCCTGTACTTTGTCCGCAGTCTCTGGTCATCTCCTGTACTATGTCTGCAGTCTCTGGTCATCTCCTGTACTGTCCGCAGTCTCTGGTCATCCCCTGTACTGTCCGCAGTCTCTGGTCATCCCCTGTACTGTGTCTGCAGTCTCTTGTCATCTCCTGTACTATGTCCGCAGTCTCTGGTCATCCCCTGTACTATGTCTGCAGTCCATTGGTTCAGAATATTTTTTTTTCTTGTTTTTCACCTCTAAAACCTAGGTGCGTCTTATGGTCAGGTGGTGCGTCTTATGGAGCGAAAAATACGGTATGTAATAAATATATAATTTGTATTACATGAATAGAGCGTCACTGATTGTGAAGCTGTAGATCAGGGATCAGCAACCAGTAGATCTCGGCCAGGTGACTGGTAGATCTCGGTCTGGGCTTGCTGACCCGCCATTGTTATTATTATTATACCGGATTTATATGGCGCCAACAGTTTGCTCAGCGCTTTACAATATAACGGGAGACAATACAGTTCAATACCAGAGCATAAAACAGAGTGCAATGCAGAGGGACCGCCTGTAAAGTTGGAGCTGTAGTAGAGAGCACAAATCTCCTCTGTAGTGTTGGCTCCTACGCCCGGTCATGGTTGGTGGGTTTCAGATGAATGAGGCCGCTCTGGAAGTGCCTTGCAACCTTGTGCAATACAGCAAACAATGGGTTAAACAGGCAGAGGTGTGTTGCTTTCTCACCACCTACTTTAACCCCTTGGATGCCGCAGAAGCATGCAGTTGTGTGGCACTTGCAGAGTGGCCCCATTTACTTGAATTGGTCTCAATTGACACGTGGTAGCACCCACCAAAAATCAACAGGGCATGTAACTCCTGCTGCAGCATATGTGCACCCTTGGCTGCTGCCTCAGCAGCTAAAAGGGGTAGGAATTGGGGGCAGTTAACCCGTGATTCAACTGCAGGGTTTTACCACCCCCCAACTTTACATGTGAACGAGCCCTAAGAGTGCGGTTGCCGGATACAACGAAGGGCTCATTCACAAGTGCAGCAGGCACTACTGCTCCTCTGCAAAGCAATCCACGTGTGTGTTGACAGGTGGTGAGGGGGTGATATTTTATTTATTTATTTATTTATTTAAGGTACTTATATAGCTCCATTAATTTACGCAGCACTTTACATATATATTGTACATTCACATCAGTCCCTAACCCTCAAGGGGCGTACAATCTAAAGGTCCTAACTTACATTCATACATACACATACTAGGGACAATTTAGACAGGAGCCAATTAACCTACCAGCATGTCTTTGGAGTGTAGGAGGAAACCGGAGTACCCGGAGGAAACCCACACAAGCACAGGGAGAACATGCAAACTCCAGGCAGGTGGTGCCGTGGCTGGGATTTGAACCAACGACCCTAGTACTGCCAGGCGGAAGTGATAACCATTTAGCCACTGTGCTGCCCCTATGTTGCCTCCTCATCACTTGATTTAATCCCTTGATTGCCATGCAATGCACACGATTGTGACACGGTAGTACGGCAATTAGAGGTTTAAATCAGGTGTGAGGAGGTGGCCCTGGCCGACACTGTGCCCGGTGATCTGTGACTTCTCCCATGTTGTTCAGGTAGATCTCCACCTCTTTAACCACATGCCACCCAGCCACCGCATATAAACGGTGGCAGGACGGCGCTCGTAGGCAAAAGCACGTTTTAAAAACGGCTGCCTTCAAAACAGGTAGGGGGCACGCGCGAGGCGCTCGCCTGCCCTGCCTGTCCCGCGGGTGTCAGCAGCGGGTCTCCGCCGCCGGGTCACGGCTGGTTTTTACCGGCCGTTTTCCCGCGATGAGCGGTAATCACTGACACAGAGCAGGGCTGCATTGTTTACACACAGCCTGCTCTGTGACAGTTCGCCGACAAGCTGCAGAGGGAGAGAAGAGTTTCTCTCCCTTGATCAGCTCCCCCCTCCCTCCCCCCGTCCAGTACACACCCCTGCCCCCTAGTAAAACACTCCCCTTACACAGCAAATTCTAAAAATGTTAACCCGTTCCTCCCCAGTGACATTAGTACAGTTTCAGTGTTTTTTTTTCACTGATCACTGTATTGGTGTCACTGGGGATGTCAGTAACCCCAAGTCAGTTCCCCCCCAGTGTCAAAATGTCCGCCGCAGTCCCGCCATAAGTCGCTGGTCGCCGCCATATGTTGCTGATTGCCGCTATATGTCGCTGATCGGCGCCATTATTAGTATAAATAAAAATTAAAAATCCCAGTATCTTTCCCACCATTTGTAAACGCTATAACTTTCACGTAAACCAATTAATTTACACGTATTGGGTTTTTTTTTTTAGCAAAGACATGTCGCAGAATACATTTTGGCAGAAATTTATGACTAAATTTGATTTTTGCATTTTTTTTTACTAGACATGTTTTATAGCAAAAAGTCCAAAATATTGTTTTTTTTTTCCTCAAAATTGTCAGCCTTTTTTTTTTATAGCGCAAAAAATAAAAACAGCACAGGCGATCAAATACCACCAAAAGAAAGCTCAATTTGTGGGGAAAAAAAGGATGTAAATTTCATTTATGTACCGTACTGCATGACCGCGCAATTGTCCGTTAAACTAGCGCAGCGCTGTATAGCAAAATGGTGTAAATTGCAGTATCTATACCATAGTTTGTAGACGCTATAACTTCCACACAAAGCAATCAATATACACTTATTGGGATTTTTTTTACCAAAAACATGGAGCAGAATACATTTTGGCCAAAATTTATACCCAACTTTGAGTTTACTATATATATTTTTTATAGCAGAAAGTAAAAAATATTGTTTTTCTTCAAAATTTTTGGCCTTTTTTTGTTTATAGCGTGAAAAATAAAAAGCGCACAGGTGATCAAATTACACCGAAAGAAAGCTCTATTTGTGTGAAAAAAAGGACGTAAATTTCGTTTGGGTGCAGCATTGCATGACCGCGCAATTATCAGTTGAATTAGTGCAGTGCCGAGTAGCAAAAAGAGGCCTGGTCATTAACCTCCTTAGCGGTTTTTCCGAGTGTAGCTCGGGGTAGAATTTCTATACCACAAGCGGTAACCCCGAGCTACACTCGGGCTTACCATGCGGCGCTGCTCTGGGGGTCCCTGCAGCACTTACCTTGTCCTTCGTTCCCACGATGTGTCCCCTGCAGCGTCCCCGGCCATCTCCTCCGGCCGATGCCGGCATCCGGCTTCTGTGTTCCGGTCCCCGTGACGTCAGGACGTACCGGCGGCGGGAAATTTAAAAAATTTAAAAAATGTCATTTTTTTTTTTTTTTCAATTTTAAATAGTAAAACATTGCTGTTTCATCCCATTTCACATACATATTGTCCCTAGTGCTTTGTCCTGTGCCCTTCCTGCATTTTGTCTGTTCTTTCTGCCTGGAAACTTAGAAAAGTCCATGGCGTCCAAAAAGCGTCCCTTTACGTCAAAAGCGGTTTTAGACCGGCTAGAGAACAGCGATAGTAAATCAGAACCACTTACAGAATTGAGTGATAATGATTTGTGGGGAAATTTTCCTAAAAATTTACAGCCTACAATAAAAAACTATTTCCATGCGGAAAAAATGGTACCGCTTTCAGCACAAAAAATCAGAAGGAATCATACCGCCAAGGAGGTTAAGGGGGGTAAATCCTCTGGAGCTCAAGTGGTTAAGGTTGCCTACCCCTGCTGTAGATGAAGACAGCTTAGTAGTGTGGATGAATGTAGGAGTTGTCACATTTAGCAAAGAAATATAAAAAAAAAGTATACACCTCTATCATCTGAGGAATCTGTGTACACTGATGAGTGAAAATCAAGCTGCATGCTGTTATTTAACACATAATCACAATGTCCACGGAGTAGACTTTCTTCTTGCTGTAGAGGAACATTCCGTGTAGCTCAGTCTTGTGAGCAGAAGTGGCCCCGTGTCTGCTATGAGAGTCACGTGCCCAGAATGAGCGCATTAGTTGAGCACAGCTATAGCCTGGCATTCAGTCCAGTCGCTCTTTTCCATCCTGCTGCTCTCAGATTGTTCTGCCAGGGTAGCAGAGAAAGAGCAATTCTGTCTACCGCTTCACTGCACCCTGAACATCAAAATATTTCCAGCTCTGCCCATTTCTCTCATACTGTGCGATTAAATACTGACATTAATATATGTTCCTTAAGCATGTTAACAAAGCGGATATTTATACCGCCACTACCTTCCCTTTACAAACAAGCTGGGCATCATTTCTATCAGCTTACTCTGACATTTAAAGAGAACTCCAGGCAACAATCAATCAGTACTGATGACACCAGCCACTGTGCTAATATCATAAAATCCATTCAATTAAAGTAATTAAAAATAAACCCACAACAGTAAAATCAGTCTGTAGATGCAGTAACGCATGCTTGATATACTCACTGTGGAACCTAGGGGGTTAATCCTCTGCATTGTGCAAAAACACGGTTTGATCCTGACTTCTCTGATCCTTCCCTTCTTCCAGTGCCCCCTTTCCTCCTGACAAGACATATCGTGTGGAGTCAGTCTGCACATGCTCAGTTTGGTGTGTATTGCTAGAAAGGTTTTTGTTTTCTTGGGAGAGTGCATGTGATAAGCATGGGGCCAATCAGCACTGTCCAGACAGAGGTAAGGGGTTCTGAATCCTCCTAGAGCAGAATGAAAACTCCTCCTACAAGCTTTAACCAGTGCTCTGTTGAACACTGATAGAAGTCACAAGACTGCTCTAACTGCTGATGAGAAAAGGTGTTTAGCATTTTAGATTTACTAAAATAATTGAATTTCCATGTTGTGTGTATTGTGAGAGACCATATATAGTGAATGCAGGGTCTGGGGAGACCAGATATAGTGAATGCAGGGTCCTGGAAGACCAGATGTAGTGAATGCAGGGTCTGGGGAGACCAGATATAGTGAATGCAGGGTCCGGGGAGACCAGATATAATGAATGCAGGGTCCGGGGAGACCAGATATAGTGAATGCAGGGTCCGGGAAGACCAGATATAGTGAATGCAGGGTCCGGGGAGACCAGATATAGTGAGTGCAGGGTCCGGGGAGACCAGATATAGTGAATGCAGGGTCCGGGAAGACCAGATATAGTGAATGCACGGTCCGGGGAGACCAGATATAGTGAATGCAGGGTCCGGGGAGACCAGATATAGTGAATGCAGGGTCCGGGGAGACCAGATATAGTGAATGCAGGGTCCGGGGAGACCAGATATAGTGAATGCAGGGTCCGGGGAGACCAGATATAGTGAATGCAGGGTCCGGGGAGACCAGATATAGTGAATGCAGGGTCCGGGGAGACCAGATATAGTGAATGCATGGTCCTGGAAGACCAGATGTAGTGAAAACTCCTCCTACAAGCTTTAACCAGTGCTCTGCTGAACACTGATAGAAGTCACAAGACTGCTCTAACTGCTGATGAGAAAAGGTGTTTAGCATTTTAGATTTACTAAAATAATTGAATTTCCATGTTGTGTGTACTGTGAGAGACCAGATATAATGAATGCAGGGTCTGGGGAGACCAGATATAGTGAATGCAGGGTCCGGGGAGACCAGATATAGTGAATGCATGATCCAGGAAGACCAGATATAGTGAATGCATGATCCGGGGAGACCAGATGTAGTGAATGCAGGGTCCGGGGAGACCAGGTATAGTGAATGCAGAGTCTGGGTAGACTGGATATAGTGAATGCAGGGTCCAGGGAGACCGGATATAGTGAATGCGGGGTCCTGGGAGACCAGATGTAGTGAATTCAGGGTCCGGGGAGACCAGATGTAGTGAATGCAGGGTCCGGGGAGACCAGATGTAGTGAATGCAGGGTCCGGGGAGACCAGATGTAGTGAATGCAGGGTCCGGGGAGACCAGATGTAGTGAGTGCAGGGTCCGGGGAGACCAGATGTAGTGAATGCAGGGTCCGGGGAGACCAAATATATTGAGTGCAGGGTCAGGGGTTTAGTAACACTAAGTTTATGCACCTTGAAAATCACACTGTAAATTTCTTCCTTTGGTATGTCGGATACAATGGATATCTCAGCTGAAATAAGCCCAGTAAAGTATATCTGGCTATTTGCACCCAGAAATTTCCATTCATGTCAATTAATTTTCGCTTAAAAATGAAAACCAGTAGCTTCTTATCCTAATGAATGGATGGTTGGGCAGTCAGACAATCTCCATTGCCTGCTCCCTTCCAGCAAGCTGAGCATGTAAACATTCCCAGTCATGTCGGCTTTTCATCACATACTGAGCAAATATTCACAGGCCCGTCTACTAATGCCAATCTGCAGAATCCCAGTCCTCAGTGCTGTATCCACTGGCTTGTGTGACAATGACCAAACATCCCCAGCTGTGTCAGCTATTTACTGTACTGAGCATCCAGCCAGTCTCAAAAGTCATCAATGCTCTGTGACACTTTATGGCTAAGTCTTGTTTTAACCCATACATATGAAGGGAAAAAAAAAAAAGAGAATTCTAGAGTCTACCTTAGATTGTACACCCCTTGAGGGTTAGGGACTGATGTGAATGTACAATATATATGTAAAGTGCTGTGTAAATTGATGGCGATATATAAGTACCTGAAATAAATAAATAATAACAAATAATATATTTTTTTTTCAATTCTGGATGGTTACCAAAACGTTTACTCAAATGTAATGCATATCCCTGCAATGGGATTTTCTTTGGATGTCCCCTTAAACCTGCAAACCAATGCAACACCATATGGTGTCACACTACCACAAAACATTCTGCCACTGTAAAATAAACAAGTAATTTGACAGCAGCAACATTAGTTATGACCAGGGGAGGACTGACCATTTGGAAACTCGGGCACTGCCCGAGGGCCCGGGGTCAGTAGGGGGCCCCATGAGATGTCCCTGGTACCTTTTTCATAGGCTTTTTTGAGTTTGGGCAAGGACACAGGGTCCCCATGATCCCCTATTGCCCGGGGCCCCATGAGTTGTCAGTCCGCCCTGGTTATGACCTTATTTATTTATTTCAGGTACTTATATAGCGCCATCAATTTACTCAGCACTTTACATATATATTGTACATTCACATCAGTCCCTAACCCTCAAGAGGCGTACAATCTAAGATCCCTAACTTACATTCATACATACTAGGGACAATATAGACAGGAGCCAATTAACCTACCAGCATGTCTTTGGAGTGTGGGAGGAAACCGGAGTATTTCTTGCTTTATTTATTACAGGTACTTATATAGCGCCGTCAATTTACACAGCGCTTTATATATTCACATCAGTCCCTAACCCTCAAGGGGTGTACAATCTAAGGTCCCTAACTCACATTCATACATACACACACTAGGGACAATATAGACAGGAGCCAATTAACCTATCAGTATGTCTTTGGAGTGTGGGAGGAAACTGGAGTACCCAGAGAAAACCCACGCAGGCACAGGGAGAACATGCAAACTCCAGGCAGGTGGTGCCGTGGTTGGGATTCAAACCAACGAACGTAGTATTGCCAGGCGGTAACCATTTAGCCACTGTGATAGTGTGGAGACACTGAAGGTCATATACACCAAATTAGCTTTTAGCAGCCGGGGGTAATGAGGAGTCGCCTGAAGTTACAGATCTCCTGCAGTCTACATCCAGCAGCTGCCCCCTCATTTTTCCCCTAGCAAGGTTCTGGCAGGTATGCTGTGCTTAGGCATGTGCCTGCTCCATCTGCTGGCTGATATTCAGTACTGCAGCTGATGCACCTAAGGATCAATACAGGTGCCAAGTTCTAAATCCGTCTCTGGTCTGTTACTCTGTTTGGAAGCTATTCCAGGTATCTGCTACTGGTCTCCCATTCTTGGCTTGTTTTTGGTCTAATGCTCCTCGTTATCTGTACTTGCTTACAACTGGATGCTGTTACCTGTGATCTGTAGTCTGCTTTGATTTTGTTCTCGATTCTTCAGCCTTTTTTCAACACCTATCCTGGTCTGAACAGGAGTACAGCTCTGCCTTATTATTTGTACTCCGCGTGCTCTGTGTAAGCATCTGTTGTCGGCAGCAAGACGATTCTTCCTGAGGACTTCTTACCCCTGCTGCTTAATTTGTCCTCATCACTAGGGGTTCTGATGAGAACCACAAACCTAACTTCCCTCTCACTTCACTGGCTGCTTGTTTATTCCGGATCAATGAAAATACAAGTGCCAGAGACAGCCAAGCAGCATTTTCAAAACTATTTTAGTACAGGTATACTATAAATTGTTTCCTTTTCACATTTTCTAAATCTGATATACACACTCTGTGTATCCTTTATTTACTCCTTTTTGTGTGTGTGTGGTTTTTTTTTATACTAGGTTATTCTAGCTCAATACGTTTCTGTCTGATTTTACTGGTTGCAATCGATCTGTATACAAAGGAACCCTTGTGTAGACAGAAAAATGGCTGCAGGAATCACTCTGAATTTGCTGACAGCAAAATTGGAGGGCATCAATAGATATATGCCCACCACAGGGTATCAAAAATATAATTCTCTTGCAGACCACACTTTTTTTTCTGCGTCAATAGCTTCACCGCAGAATACAAGTATAATCTTCACACTTGTTCCAATAATAAAAAAAAACAAAAAACAGTTAATCATTGATTGTTGAAGCAAAAAAAAAAAAAAAAAAAGAAAAGATTTTTTCCCCCTCACACAAATAGCAAGTGTGACGTTGCTTAGGACATCAAGCCAAGACATCTGTATTCATAGACATCACGGTGTACAAAATGTACAATTGACAAACACTGCTTTCCATGCGTAGTTTCAATACATAGCTGCAAGCCAAATGTTTCCAGCAGTGCTTTACAATTTGCTAGTTCACAATCACAGAATTCACCTTCTTTCTCTAAAATACAAATGTTTGTAACTGGGTCTTCTTATTTTGCAAAACTCTGTTACTAGACATGTGCATTTCATGTTGTTACGATTAGTTTTTCGGACATAAATTGCATTTGCGGAGATTCAGATGTATACAAATCTCTGAATGGACATAACAGTAATGAATCCGAATGAATCCAAAAACATAATGAAATTAAAAAATTCATTTGTTTCATATGGATGACGTCACATGATGTGATAGTAGTTCCCCCATTGGGAAAATAATTCAATTTCATTTAAATTTAATAATTCAGATTTGGATAACGAATGAATCTGAATTTCGCTCCATTCATTAATTTCTCTTAGTGGGTTGGACTAGCATCTGAAAATATCGAATCCTTCTGATTCAAGTCCATCCGATTTGATAAAATATTGAATATATAGCAATCTCTAAAAAAAAACTGTCACATTTTTTCCAATCCTCCCATACCAATGAATATATAAAACAAATGCCAAAGCCACAATACAAATTAAAAAAATGAATCAATTCAACATAATGAATATGACTAAATGACATTCTTTAATGAATGAATGCATCCGAGATGGAAAGAAAATTTGCAGTGTGCACATGTCTAGTTGTTACGTGTGTTCTGCCAACACAAGTAATGATTTCTCAATGTTGAGAGAAATACATAGGCTACCATTATTCACCATCTTCTGAAAATACTAGTCTCTTTCTGGCTTTGGGTTGAGCCACTAACAAAACAAGCATACAGATCAGGATCGTTAGAATCAAGTCAGAACGTGAATTCTACATACCTCTTTAAGTCAGAAGCAGGTACCAAAGCCAGCACATATTTATGACAACCAAGGAACAAGTATTTTTAGGTTAGATCTTGGATCCTCCAACAGTGAGATTCATTTACCTAAATTTCAGACTTCCTGACCACCTGGCAGTTTTGGGTGTCCCCATCATCCACCACTGCGTGTTACAGCTTTGCCTGATACTTTCTCTATAATGTAAAAAATAAAAATTCCAAAATGGAGAGTGGGAATTTCTCATACTGGCCTGAGCCGTTCATGCAGCCTCCCAACTTCTGAGCACATCACTGTAGCAAAGTATATAATACCTGCAGTTGCTTACAATCTAAAGACCCACATTCAAAAACATAAAAAATGTTTGTTATAGTTAGACATGGTGAAGAAAAAATGGTGTGAAGCCTGGAAGTCAAAAAGGCAGCAACCGTCAAACAGTCAATGAACTCTGTGCCCAGACTCTCAAACTAAAGTGTCAGTCTCAAAGGAAGTTAAATTAAATGTGATAGCATATATTTCATAAAAAAGCCAAATGATTATAGCACGACAAGACTCAATCATTACATTCTGCATTAGTCCAGTCAAGACTGGTTCCCATTAAACACTGCAATTTCTCCACCACGTGGAACATGAGAAGGAGGCTACACAAAATCATATGACATGAGTCAGCAATCTTACCAACCATTACCCTTACTTTGCTCCTACAGTCAGGAAGAAGATAAAGTCAATGTGACAGGTAGAAGGATATGTGAAGTTTGGTGCAAGAGAATTCTGCGTTACTAGTTTTCTTTCTGATGGCCTAAAATAGAATGTTATGAATTATCCTGGGGCATCAAGGAAAATAGGAGTGTTAGATCCTGAACATACTATTGCCAGTGGCATCTACTGATTGTTTGTATAGTAGAAACCTGCTTGGTGAAGCTTATGAGTACCATCTGCCTTTCTGTAAATGGCTGTGACCTGAAGCTAATCTGAAAAGCTCACAAGTTACTAAAGCATGCAGAAAAGTAGTCCTCAACAGATGGCGCCATTTTATTTTATATTTTTTTTTCCTTTAACCTATGCAGAATTATTATACATGGAACTGTGGTGTCACTCAGGAACACAAATGCTGATAAACCTCTTTCCAAAGCTGAAACACAATTTAAATAGCTGATCGCATATTTAAAGTGCTATACTGACTGCACAAGTCACTAACTGACTGAATGTCACTAAGCTTCCAAAAAATATATCCACAGGTCTTCTAAAAATGTAGTTGTAACCAATGACAAAGTATGTAGAGGGAATATCACATTTAATTAGTTGTATACAGTATATTTTCTAT